AACCGCTGCTGGTGCAGCAAAGAAAAAATAAACAAAAATTGCATCGCGCCTCATATTCACAGAATAAACTTCACGCTGCAAAACTAAAACTTTAACAAACAAGCCATGTTCTAATTTATTCTGATTAAAATAAAAGAGTCGCATAATTCACGTCCCAAGTATGGAAAAATGAGCGTTATTAAAATGCGGAAAGTTTTCGCCGAGTACAAAAACTTTTATTCCGTTGTAGGATTTTTGATGAATATTTTTGGCAGAACATAATATCGTAAATGAACGGCACTTCAGAGCGACCGACGGAATTCAGAAAGGCAACTGTGGGTTTAATGAAAGGAATATTATTCTCTGCTTTACTTTTTCCGACCAAGAATAGACAGTACAACGAAGGAAAACAAAATTATGTCGACTTGTTCGGACTATTTTGAATAAAACATTAGTACATTAAATGATATTTTTGGTAACTAAAATATTTCATTAAACCATTATGGTATATTATGCAACAAGTTTGGAAAACGCTATTTAATGTTTAAAAAACAACATTTTTGCAAAACAGCATGAATACATTCATTGAAATCTACCGCAAAAGTCGGATCGCTTCCAAACCCATGACTAAAATACCGGAAACTCAGAAGTGGCTCGTAACGAAGGTGCCATATATATGATAAAATGGTGAAATAGTATATTATGCAATAATTGCAGTAAACGGCATTTGAGTCACGAGTTTATCTGGCACGAGCGGATCCCAGCGGAGCGAGTGTTGAATAAACGAACGACTTAAAAAGTTTACTAAAAGTGTTGCATACTATACTTTTTATACCACCCTTAGTTTTTGAGTACATTTTTGCAAAACAACAAAAATGAATTCACCGACGTTACCGTCAGAATTGACAAACGTCTATATTTCAGAAATGACTCGTATCTGTGGTAAAGAAACGGACACTTTCAGCATGCTAGATTAGTGTATAATTAGGTATTTTACATAATAATATAAAGACGACTTAAAACCAATAGATACTTAATTACTACTTCTAGTGGCGTAAAAGCACTTTTCATAAATGCGCCTAGTGGTAAAATTGTCAATGTTAAAGTACAAGATGTAAAAAATAGTGGTGACAATTCAAAGATTAAAGTTTTTTAAAAACGTTTGCGTAAGTCCGATTCCTCATGAGAAAGCCTTGAAACAGTAGATAACAGCAATATTTTTCTTTTAATTTTAAGAACAATGGCGAACCAAAATTTTAAATGTAGTTGCATGGTGTAAAAGGCGTGATGGTTCTGAAAGGGTACGTTTCCCAAAGTGTCGTTGACACCGAAGGACTGAAATATAAATATGTGATCATTTAAAACATCAAATAAGATCAACGAAAGCATCACCGCAATGTTTAATATTAATATATAATAATAATAACCTAACCCATGTGGCTAATAGATATATAGGTTTCTACAAGGCGATGTAAGAGAAGGTGGTCTATGGCTCTAAAATACTTTTAAATAGGCAGTGATGCGAATTTATATAAACCTGGCAACATATTACCTACTTTAAATTGCACACCATGTATATTATATTATTTTATTTATTATTATTATTAATTTAGGGGATTTTAAAAATAAGATTTTTTACGGAAGTTGTAGAAACCCGGTTTATTGACTGTTTTCGTTCATTTTCGAATTATGGGAAAGAAACTAACTCAATTTTATTCGTACCGTCTTCTGACGTAACATTAACGTTGAACACTATCATTTTGAAGAAAGTTTCGCAAAACCTCATTTTCATTTAATTTTAATTTACATACAACTATCCGATACTTTCGTTGAAATTGAATCGAACTTCTAAACGTTAAGAATTTTCAAATGCATACTTTATTAGATTATTATAATTAAAGTGGATGCCAAAAAAGTGCGTAGTTGGAAAAAAACCCAAATTAAATGAAAATGAGGTTTTACGAAGTTTATTCCTGTCCACGTGCGAAACTTTCTTCGAAATGACAGTGCGCAATGTGATATTGTGTAAAAATCATGAAAACTAACTGATATTTTGAAGATGGTAAGAGATGGTATAGGGAAACTTGAATGCTATTTAAAAAAATCTCGATAAACTATTTTTCTAGAACTCTCGTACTAAATCTTATTTTTAAAATGCCCTCTCTATGTTCTATCTAAAATGCCTGAGCCCCCACAGGAACTGCCTAGAAAGTTCGGCAACTTGAACGAAATCTACTTTGTGCGATACAGCATCACCCTGTAAAATTTAAAGTAAACGAATAACCGCTCAATAACAATATAGCCGCTGACAGTTCGTCAATTCGACAGTATTTCTCACAGTACGCAGATACAATTTTTACAGTCGTTACCTAAGGAGCTATCCGGTCTAGCCTGACATAGACCTGACATTTTTAATCTCGCAGTGTATGGCCTCTGCACATCTTATTACTTTAAATAGCACTCACTTTCAGATTCTATTTAAAAATAAATAAAATAAGTGAAAGGAAATGCTATTTAAGTTATCGAGGAGACATAAAATCTTTGGATCCAAGAATATATAAATTATCTATCACATTAGCAGCAGACCAGAAGGGACACCCAAAAATGCAAATTTTCAGGGCAAGCATTTCGAATTTTCCAATAAGAGTCTCGATCAGATCACAAATACTACAGTTTTCCATTAAAATAATGGACCGGTTGCTTGTCGATTTCGCTGGCAACTCTAAAAACGCTTTCAGAAGTAGGTATACTTTGCCGAAAGCATTCTAAGTTTCGTAGTTTTAAGACAGCTCTGTTTTCGCATAAATATGCAAAAGTCTACGCTAGCAATATTAGGAGCCTTTTCAGCTTTCCATAAAATACGGTGTAATGACGTTTGTTAGAAAAACGAACTTTAAATAGTAAATATTTTAAACCTTTAAAAGTCCTTTTTCGCTAATGATAAGTAATATGCGAGTTGTCGATGCTATTAATTAACAAAAACTGAATTTTAACCGAATGTTAAAACACAGTGGAACAAAACTAATTTAAATTAGCACATTAATTGCAACAAATTTCAATAGGGAGTATATTTAAGCGTTGCTGGTATGCGAGTTCAAGTCCATCAATGTCAATAATGGCATAATGGTAAAAAGGACTCTATTCAGTATAACACAGTTTTAATGCACAACTTATGTTCATGTAATGGATGTGGGTGACTTAACGTTGGTGGCAGTATTCGATATTGCCATCAAACAGAAATAGGTTAGACTTATAGGTTATTCCTTACACACATATAAATTAGCTTTCAAATCTGGAGTAAATAGCATAAATGGATCTAAAAAGGAGGTCGGATTCAAGATTCGCATATATATATATATATATATATATATATATATATATATATATATATATATATATATATATATATATATATATATATATATATATATTTGAATCTCACACAAAAAAAAAGCTTTAGAAAAAAAAAAAACTCCGTTGTCCTACGGTGAAGAGACATACATCCGGGCTTCGCATTATTGTTTTGGTTAGTTAGTATGTAATCGTAATTTAAAAAATTATGTATGTTTTATTGTTGTGCATCTATTTTTATACAATTTTTAATCACTTTGTTTGTTCTATTGACTTGCACTAGTAATTTTTAATCATTTCAATGCTGACTCCTATACAAATTTTTATCTATGTTTTAATTATGACCAGGAAAACAATGCTATAAATAATATTATTTAAAAATACATTTTTGTAGGTTAAAATTAAATGTCTGAAGAAGGTCTTGATGGCCGAAACGTCACAAAAAATAAAATGTTTCACAAGTAACGGAAACTTATTTTAATTTTACAAAAAAAGGACCAAAAAAAACCCAAGAACCATTTCTTAAGAATATATAAAATCAAAAGGATCCAAGAACTCACAAACTAGAAATATATATATATATATATATATATATATATATATATATATATATATATATATATATATATATATATATATATTTGATGACACTATATTCCGGGATATCATCCGTTCGCTCGTTGAACTCCGACTGGAATCCTGCATCCGACTGGAATCCTGCAAATCTTGCATCCGACTGGAATCCTGCAGACGTTTCGCCAAAATCTCACTTGGCATCTTCAATGCTCGCGCTCCGAAAACACTTCGAACACTGTTTTCGGAGCGCGAGCATTGAAGATGCCAAGTGAGATTTTAGCGAAACGTCTGCAGGATTCCAGTCGGATGCAAGATTTGCAGGATTCCAGTCGGATGCAGGATTCCAGTCGGAGTTCAACGAGCGAACGGATGATATCCCGGAATATAGTGTCATCACATTTTTCCATCCGTGAATCAATACGTGAGAATATATATATTTATATATATATATATATATATATATATATATATATATATATATATATATATATATATATATATATATATATATATATATATATATATATATATATATATATATATATATATATATATATATATATATATATATATATTCACGTATTGATTCACGGATGGAAAAATGTGATGATACTATATTCCGGGATATCATCCGTTCGCTTGTTGAACTCCGACTGGAATCCTGCATCCGACTGGAATCCTGCAGACGTTTCGCCAAAATCTCACTTAGCATCTTCAATGCTCGCGCTCCGAGTGATATATATATGCTGTTTACTCCAGATTTGAACGCTAATTTATATGTTTGTAAAGAATAACCTATAAGTCTAACCTATTTCTGTTTGTTGGCAATATCGAATACTGCCACCAACATTAAGTCACCCACATAAATTACATGAACATAAATTGGATTGCGAACACCGCAAAATTTTATTTCTAATAATAATCGAACAATCGTAATATGTACATTCATACTACTATAAACTACAATACACTAATCCAATATTGCAAATTGCAAAAAACATTATTCCGAATGAGGAATTCATCATTTTCTCAGTAAATGACATATTAGCCCACAGTTACCGGTGTTATACGCTGTATCAAAATTAGGTTCTTACCTTGGGAAACGGCATATGACTACTTTCTGCTGAACCTATTAGCCCGAGTTCCTCTATCTGCAAAAATGAAAGTTCGATTTTTTTTGCTAAATAACATTCATAAATTAATAACACTGATATTACAGATTATTCTTTATCTGTTATCTGTTGAAGAATTATTTTAAGTACTACCATTGGCAGAGTAGGGTTTTAATTTAATTAATAAAGAAGAACTTAAAATTTCATCTTCAACAATCTAAATATAAGTTGAAGACGAAGCAGCTTACCTATTTGATACAATTTTTTTTCCACTGCCTACTAAAATACTCAATTATGACGTCAGCTTCGTGGCCCGTTCGTACTCCTATGCTCTGCTAATACCAAATCAAAGTCGTGACTAAGATGTTGTTTATCAAAACTCGTTGCAAAAGTATGTGTACAGTTGGTCTAGCGTATAATTTTACTAAATAAAAATATCAGTAAAGTAATCTTCCCCGTTTCCCCAAAAACAAGCCATAAAATTTTAATGCGTACATATCATCAGAACACGCTATAGTTTTAATATGTAACAGAAGCGCAGAATGGAGGGACATAAATCAATCAAAACTTATCTCGCCTGAAGTTAGCAGGATGTAACTCGGTAACTTGGGGGAAATTAATGATCGGGTGAAGTGCTGGAGCATTACAGATGATTACGTAAATAAATTAATTTGCGGAGTTCATTAAAATCGGAGCGCTTCGGCATACAACCGGAATATAATATGCAAAATTTACTGGGAATCTTTTATATATGGCGGGGTTTCCTTTTCAAGCTATTGAGATTGCTGAAGTCGGCAAAAGTAACGCATGATTAATGTACTGGTGTAATTACACCTCAATGAACTGGGCGTAGCGAGTAATATTTCTGTCATCTTAACATAAGGCCTTCTATTTACAAGTCTTGGATATTGTCGGCACTAATGCATTTAAACAAAACGGACCGGCCCCCCACCCAACTAAAACTCCTTAAAATTCTTATTTCTGTAGTAATTAATATTTTATTATATTATTATTATTTTATTGCATTATAAATATTTTTTTAACACAAAAAAATGCGGATTTTGATAAGGGCCACCAATATTTTTGGGGGGTAGAGAACCTTATTCCGGATAGCTTGTTCACAGATTAGAGACTTTTCGAATATACTTACCACTAGAGAAACTTCCACACTTGCAACTTTCTTCATTTTTATAACAAACTAATAAAAAAAAAATATTGCAAAAACGCCGATTTCTCCAACAAAATAACACCACTTACAAGAAATTAAATGACATATTTCTGAAAATATTAACAATAATGAAGCAAATGTTAGAGTTGAGTGTCGTGTCGTGACACTATACTTGGACAGGAAATTAGCGAATAAATTAAAATTACCATTATTTTTTGGGAGAATTAGTAGTGCCATAAAAAACATACCATTTCGTAACCGAAATCTAATGGAAAATCAGGTAGTAAAATTTCGCCACTAGCGGACTCGCTCAAATATTAATTCTACAGTTAAAACGCTTTAATATTTCCCAGGTCTGCTTGCACATTATGATGAATTTATTGTGGGAGAACCCATCGAACTGGATGACTGCGCTTTTTGCATATTTTTCGTAAATAATAAACAATGTTCGAAAAGTACAAATGGAAATGAGTTTGTCGAAGTTAATTCTCCAAATAACAAATGCTCGCATTTTCGGGCTTGGTGTAATTTACAGTGGAGGCGCAAAAATTTCTATTTTGGCATTTTGGCGTTAAATTGGGGAAAATCAGTTTCCGGTTCTGTTTGCTACACCTAACAAAAAACAAAAATGTAGATTTTACCAAAATTTCTTGTTTACTGCAAAAGGAAAAAATTTAACTTTTTGTTTTAATTTCTTTTAAAATAAAAGCTAAAAATTTAGAATTTTCAAAATTTTTATTATTTATTTATACAATAAAATTCTTTTTCTGGCTACCATATGCAACACAAGAATTCTAAAAATGTTTATTATTAATACCAGCCTGAAATTGTTAGCAGGCATTCTATACAAGATTGCGACTGCCAAAAATATTCAAAATGTGTTCCAACCATTTAGTTAAAAAAAGGATAAATTTTTATAAAATTAAATTTTCCTAAGTCAGCATCAAGTTAATAAAAAAATATATTTCAATGAATGAGTTGTTGCTGTTAGATAGTTTTTATATATGAAACTTATTAGTTAGTAAATAGGTCGTTATAAACGGAAAACCTCCTGCAAAACAGAAGCATAAACAAGCGGGTGAACTAACTACAAATTATGCATGGCGGCCTACAAAATGTTCCAAATTGTAAAGTGAACGAAATGAAAGGTGCCATTAACCTACTGTGAATTCATTATTTTTCATGCTTCCCCACGCATTCAGTTATTAGCTTCAGCAGATTGAATTAAATCAGCCATTTGTCAAAAGTTCGCGTATTACGTTTTACAAATTTTTCTTCTAATGTAAAACGCTGCAGCCGTCATTTATAAACCAGCAGGAAACAAGGTTAATTAATTGAAGTAATATGTTGCAGCTTGTTTAGATAATTCCTTAGAACAAACCAAATTATATGGGGTTGCGTGTCAGCTCTGAATAACAATAGTTGAACCCAAGCGATTTTTCTCCGTTAGAGTCATAGTGTCTTAACTTTGACTAATAATAGCAAAATTGAAATGAAAACAGTGATGAATTGATGTGGTGGTCTTTATTATATTTTACACGAAACGGTTGTATCGTGTTTTTGTCTACAAACATTTAAAATATGGGATAATGAATTTTAAACTTTTGTATATGTTTAGCAATCACTAAATATGTTGTTTTGTAGGACAATTATTCTGTTCCTCATCTGAAATAGTAATGTGAAAAGTTTGTGTTTCAATAAAAATAAAGGTTTTAATATTTGCCTTTACGCTTGAAAATTGTCTTTTTTTTGTATAAAAATTGTTTTATTTAAATATCTAAAAAAAAATTTGAAATAAGTTGGTTTTCAACAAATGTGCCTATTTTTTAAAAAAAAATCGACAAACTTAATTGTCCTAACTTTTTTTGGTATATCCTAATTTGGAGAAATTGTGATCTAAGTACATAGACCGACTAGACTAAATAGACCGACTAGACTAAATACTTTTTTCAACTCTCTTCTGTAAAATATTTAATTATACAACGATCTAACGTGCAGAAAGCGTCGTTTTACTACGTGAGTTTCTTTTCCCACGGATCCAAGCCCCTTTGGACATTTCCGGGATATTACCGTACGAGTTTGGGAGCAATCGGATGTTTTCGGAAATTTTACCGCTTTGTCAATTCTAATGGTTATGTCAGTGAACGTGTTAGTTTTGTTTTGCAAAAATGTACCTAAAAACCAACGGTTGTAGAACATGCATACTATAGCATGTATAGTATAGTTTACATTTGGTAAACTTTTTAAATCACTCGATTGTTAAACACTCACACTAATTATACACCGATCTAACAAGCGGAAAGTGTCATTTTACCACGTCAGTTGTTTCCTACGGATCCGAGCCACTTCGGACATATCCGGTATATTACCGCACCGGTTTGGGAGCAATCGGATGTTTTCGGAGATTTTACCGCACTGCTTGAATCTTGACGTTTTTCAATTCTGACGGTCACGTGTTTTTTTGCAGAAATATACCCAAAAACTAATAGTCGTAGAAAAAGTATATTATGCTTTAAAATGTCAAAACCTTATCAAATACTGCATCAATTTTGGAAAAATTCTTTATTAAAGTATTCAACGTAGTCCATAAAAAAAAGTTAGAAAAATGTGAAAATAAATTTTTCAAAGAAACTTTCACAGGCTACTGTAATACAGTCAAGCTCTGAAGAAGCTCGCAAAACGTCAGCAAGTTCGGCTCAGCAAAAACCGACGCAGGAGGAATCCAGAAGTTTTGTAAAAAGTACGTGAAAACAAAGTTTGTCCGATTTTTTTGTACATTTGTAGAAAAACTGAAAACAACCGATAAAACTTTTTTCTAATAACTTAATTTTTTAATATATAAAAAATCAATTTTGACAGGTAACGACAAATATTTGAAAACTTTCCTAAATTGACATAGTTATTACTTTTGATGCACAAACTATCCCCAAGAAGAAAAATTGCTAAAAGTCAAAAAAACGTTCCCATATGATTTGGAGTTTAGTGGTGACAATACTGAATGCAAGAATGACTGGGATGTTTTTCAGAGTCTAACCAAAATTTTTAATAATAAATCACAAACATAAAACAATTATACAGCAAAGATAATGAGATCATATTCCCTTCACCGCACCCGACCCCTTCCCTACCGAATGAAAATGAATTGTTACGGGTTTTTGCAAAATACGCTTTCATGTAAAATTATCGACAATTTAAACGTAGTTGGGCATTAAACCTGGCCCTAACATTTAATTGCGTTTTATTATTTATTATTACCAGTAAAATTTGAATACTGGTTTGTAGTTGACCAAAGCGAATTCAGACTTGTATATTAGCTGGCAATAATTATTTAAACCCCTTTCAAATATTACTTTAAAATTTTTGTTTATTCTAATTTGTTGGACTAAAATTGTTGAATGGGTGAACTGTTCGAAATGGCGACCTCCATCAGAAAAAAATTACCATAATAAACAAAAAAGATTAGCTTTAAGTAAATCTGAAATGTAAAATACGTAAAAATCTGCAATTAATTTAAAGAAATAATGATTAATAGTAGTTCCCACTCCATAGGTTCCAACTTTTCTTTGCCTCGTAAAAGAAGTTTCCTCTCACAAAACAATTCTAGAAATGAAGTTTTAATCGTCAGATACTGTTTTTACGCAGTACTCCAATGGCAGAGAACGAGAGAGTATTCCTGATAATGAACGAAGTTTATATTATGATAAGTATTATATACATAGGTATCAATTGAATTTATATATGAGTTCGAAATGACAGCTCGACCCTATTTTAGATTTTTAATTTTGAATTGCTTTTGCATTTGTCATAGTATTAGAAGGCAAAAATTACCTTTCACAGGAACTTACTGTCTGTGCTCTATATTTCTGTATTC